CAAGAGTTCAGAAACATTATGATTACCTTTTTTCTTCACTTAACTTGTGTTATTTTCTTACTTAGTGGATCCATCTGCCTAAGTGACAGCTTGTTCAAAATCCCCACTGGTCCTTTTTTAATGCAGCATTTTTAAAGAGCATACAAATTCTAATCCATAATTATCAACCCTCTCAGGATACCAGTCACTACTAAAAAAAAAAGCCTAATTAAATTATCCTAAGATTAATAGTGATTTTGATAAAAATATAGCAGTCAAACAAACATGAAAAAAGCATACAATGGAAATGGAGAAATAAACAACATCTTCCCAAACCCCCAGAAGTACTTACATTTCTTCATCTGGGGTCTATATTTTGCTTCCTCAATGATTTAATCACAAAATTAGATTTCTAAATTGTAACACAGTCATTTCAAAGCAATATAAAAGACTTTAGGTTTACCTGTGGAAGCCTAAAAGAGCAAATAAAGCCCTTGAAGAAATTGAGAAAAAAAAGAACTGTAACATGCAAACCCCAGCAATTTGGTCCCCCACTATTTATGCTCAGAGATTACTAAAACCAGTTGATATTTCAACCAACCTCATTGCCATTAATTCCACAATCATCCTTTGACCACCATAAAAAAACTAAAAAAAAAAAAATTAAACAAAAAATGGACAATTAAACCCAAACAGAATCTAAGTGTACTCAGTACTTGTTAATCAATTACCAATTGATCTCCTAATCAATGTAGTTTCAAAGTCTCTCTCAAAAGGAAAGAATTCCAGTCTAAAGGAAAGCTTATCCTTACAGCATTTGCTAGCATCCTTCCTTTAGAAGAAAATTTACAGAAGAAAAAAATCTTCACACTTTTGCAATTGTCTCTTTGTTACATGACTTTACATTACTCCCCTTGTCCCTGCTATTTTTTTGCCTCTATAAATTTAAAGACAGACATTTTATTTTACAATGTCTATGAAAAGGAGTTCCTGCATAACTGCCACTCATCAGTGACAGAAAAGACTACAATATGTCAAACCAGAGAGGCAGCTACTCTAGAGAGCATGGACCAGATACACATTTTATATTCTGTGTAATGATGCAACACATCTTCAGAGCAACACTATAATTTAACAGTCTGTAGAAAGCTCTAAGGATTCCATAGTCCCAAAAGGAAACATTTCAAAGCAGCAGTGTTAAGTCATTGCTTTCACAGGCAGAGATGTGACATTATAACTGGTAGTTAAAGGAAGCATGGTAATTCCTAAGTGCTGAAATTTTAAGAACAAAATAATTTCTTTTGTTAATTTTGCAGTTGCATATTTGGTTTCAACTACAAGAAGGAAAAAAGCACCAACAGCTCCCTCTCTGAATATTATGACAGTTCACACAGAAATTCTTGCTCAGCATTTTGTACCCAAAGAACCAGTCTAACCATGTCAGAAAAACTAGTTTAGTATTCAGCCCTCAAATATAATTAAGGTCATCTTTTTTATTTGCAAAACACCAGTAAAAGGCTCCGTACAGTGATGATGTTGTTTTCCCAGCTATCAATAAGTTTACATGACCATTAATAAACCCACAACCTTTAAAATGTTCCAGGTAGCTAAAATGAAAAATTGAAAACTCTAACTTAAAAACAGTGCTTGTACATCATCCCTGCACAATGAAAACCATCACTGTCCAGTGAAAAAAGAGTATGATTGATACCAAATCTTCTGCCTTACATCTTACAAGGAGTAGCTGAGGTTTGTTTATCAGCTGTGGTTGCTTAGACTGGAGAAAAGGAAGATCAGGAGGGACTTTATCTCTCTCTACAGCTACCTAAAAGGAGGCTGGAGTGAGAGGGTGTCAGTCTCTTCTCCCAGGTGACAAGTGGCAGGATGAAAGTAAACAGACTCAAGTTCTTCCAGGGGAGATTTAGATTAGATATTAGGAAAAAGAAAATTGGAAAGGGTTTAAAAGCATTGGACCGGACTGCCCTGGGAAGTGGTAGAGTCACCATCCCTTGGTAGTGTTAAAATAATGTGGATATAACACTTGAGGATGAGGTTTAGTGATGAGCATGGTGGTGGTGCTAGGTTGAAAGTTGGACTTGATGATCTTACAGATTTTTTTCAAACCTCCATGATTCTTCTATTATAATAATATACTAAACAATCCTGTAAAGGAAATATTGTCTAGATAATTATTGTTTGCATTAAAATAATGACCATTGCATCTCTGAGTTATAATATTAATTAAAGTAATTTACATGGTCAGGTTTGAAATTGTTTTTGATGAAATAATTCTAATTCACTCAGTCATTTGTAGACTAAGAATAATTTATCTTTGTAGTGTACCCACAAAATTAGGTACTACAGTCTTTCACAACAGCACTTTGGATAATAATATCTACAAAGGTGTTCTTAAATGTTTTGCACTTATTATTTTGCACAAATTAAAGGTATAATCCACCTAACAAACAGTACAAAAATATTCTTTGATGTTAGCAGAAAAAAAATGTTTAAAAGCTTTCAAAACCACCAAATATGAAAATATTTGCTAGGAGCAAACTTTTCTTAAAACAAAAACCTAATATACGGCTTGTGTAATGAGTATCTTTATTTTAAAACTGGGATTTTTTGCAGATACATCTATTAGGATATGAATTTAAAGTAAAAGCTGTACTTTAAAACAAAAAAAAAAGTTAACATCTACCAGTTCATGAACTAAACATTCAGACAGCTTCCACAGCTAACTGAATGCTCTGCTTAATGTTAAAGCCACATATGACTAGTTGGTATTTCAGAAGCATACCTAAGAGACAAACTATTCTCTCAGGAACAACATTATGTTTTATTAATTAAAATAACTGTAACATTTCTAAAATTCATTGTCTTGAAACTGAAGCTTGTGAAAGACATTAAGGAATTCAGACCAGAATATTAAAGTAGGATAGTTCATCTCATTAAATTCCAAAAATTTTACTTAAAAGATGTTTATTTATATTGGCACTTTTCCAAGCAATCCACTGGGCCTCAGAGTAATGCAATTGGCCTCAGTAATTCTGCAATAAGTGCTAAACAAATATGTTAATCCAAATAATTTCTAAATAAAACACAAAGTTATTTGTGTAATTACAAGAATAAGTAAATACAATTAATGTTTCTACAAATAAGTAGAAACAATCTAGAAATACAACAAAAAAGTTGTATGGTAAATGGAAACCAATTACTAGTAGAGGATTATTATTTATTACTGGTTTTCTATTATTTACAGAACTGTACCTGTATGAAAATGAACCAGAGAAAATTAAAAATATTCATGGACTGATAAAAAAGATCCTTATAATAAATTTTCAGAAATTAGAATCCATTATTGCTTCAAAAAGTTGCAGTTTCACAGATTTATGCGCACAAAATTAGATGTAATTTTATTTAAAATACAATTTTAAAAAATCATTTGACAGCCTCATTTAGCTACAGTTAGTTACTAGACTTCAATGGTTTTGACATGTAGAATATTAGTTGAAAAGTAAGTGTCTTGTCTTTGGAGACAGGTAGTGCTTTAAGCTAAACAGACATCTTGTCTGGCTCTCTCTCCTCTAATGTAGGACATCTTTTCCCTGAAGGCATTTTTGCAATTCATTAATCATTCTAACTGGAAAATTTCAAAGTTAAAGCTTTATGTTTATGCAAAGTTTATGTAGATCTAGGTACAGTTATTGCTTTCAACTACTTAGAAATATATCTGGAGTAGTTTCTAGTGATTTCCAAGATCTAGGGAGCCTGACCAAACACAACAGAAACTGCTGCAGTTTCTCATGGACCTCATATCCTACAAATAATGGATTATAAACATTTCTTATTCTGAAAACAACATCTCACTTAAAATGTCACAATCTATAAGTAATGACTGTATTTTACATACATTAAAGTAGACTTAAAGTTTCCTGTTTATTTTAAATACTGACATAGAACACTAGTGTTTCTTTAGCTTCCAAAGAACCTCTGCGATAACAATAATAATAATAATTTATCACAGTTAAATTATACTTCAGTATCTGTAATTCCATAAATGAAAGAAAAATACTTATGGCAGAACTTCCATTTTACCAGCAGGAAAATAACTTGGAATATACAGGGGCCATAAAGTGGCTAGTATCAACGTGTGACAAAAATGCTCCTGTTTCCATTATGCAAAACCAAATTTAATATTTCCTTTTTAAATTTATAAATTTATATATTCCTTTTTAAATTTATAAATTTAAATTTTATAATTTATATTAATGCAAACTGGTTTATCTATATTCTTTTTGTGCCTTCACATTAAAATGAAATTAAAAATATACCTGAGAAGCAAAATGGAAATCATTCCATTATATTTTTCCAAGAAAATTGTTTCTCAATTTTAAAGACTTCTTTTACTGAATATTTCTAAAGGTCTCTAAGAAGATACAGATTCTTGGCGCTTTCTCAAAATTAGTTCAGTAGAGAACAAATTTTGATATGGGTGGGCAGAACTCACACAGCCCAAATTCAAGGAAATATCCTAGAATTTACCTCTGATAGCTCCCTAAGAAATCATCAATTTAAGACAAAGTTTATGCCAAAAAAATCCCATAGGATTTTTGTGATGTTTGCAACTTCAGAATAAGCAGTACTTTCTAGGTTTCTTGCAGGCAGTGATCACTGGAATTTTACATAATACAGAACACAATTAAAACCAGAAATCTATAAACAATCACAAGAAAAAAAAAAAGAATAGTAAGATCTTGAGCTGTGATTTCTATCATTAGGGCCAAAAAGTAAGGGACTTGCTTTTGTTGGCAATCAAAGTGGCTAGCAAGTGAAAGAAACACTGAATATGAACAACAGTCAATAACTGTGAAACCAAATAAACAGACTCTGGATCAGATACATTATTGAGAAAATAGGTATTATTTAGGTATTATATTGAGAAAATAGGCATATTGATATCAGACTTTCAATTACATAAAAACTGCCTAGATGGGATATTAAAGATTTTTTTGCCTGACCTGTATTCATTCCTGTTCCAAATGCATGTTACCTGAAAATACAAAATAATGAGAAAAAAATTGTTAATTATAATATTTAGCTAGTTAGAACCTCTACAGATTTCCTTTAAAAAACCTAAATATGGCCAGTAAAGTTGGTAGAATAAAGAGGATGAGAACTGCTGAGACTTTGAACTTATTTCTGTCATCGTGAAAATTTACATTTCAATTAATTCATACCAGTGCTGTAATATATTCACAGCTTTTAAAACCATTGGGACTTTTTCATTTTACATTTTCTATTGAAATACCTTGATTAACTCCGAATTCCACAATTACTTTACATAAAAGTTTTCACATTAGTACTGCATAAATAAAAGGCTAGCAAAATCAGTACGATAGCATCAATGACAGAATATGTGCTTTTTATTTATACTTCAAAGGAGAAATTTTAATAAATTAATAGCATGTCAGAATTTGTAAAAATCTCTGCATCAACATGACTGTATTTCTCCTTCTCTTCCTTCCTTTCTGCCTCCAAATACATGCTTCTATCTATTTCCAGTTTGACAAATTCTTTTTATTATAATGTTAATGCATTACATCAGAGTTGATAGTATATGCATGGAGGAGAAAGATAAGTGATGTGTCTTGGTACCTTTTGCTGTGAAATTACATTAGCCTCCTGGGAAACAGGATAGGATGAAGCTGCAGATTCAAAGATCATTACACTGCTTATAACCCTTTGTATTTATCCCCAGTGCTGCTAAACCATTACAGAAAATCTAATTTCTCTGAAGCTGCATTAATATCAAACGACCCCATTTTGTATGCCAGACTTCATTCCACCTGGCAGGTAATGCACAAAAGGATCTAGTATCAATCACAGGGAATTAGAAAAAAGCTAAAGGTTTGGCATATTTGGCAACGAATTCCACCAGTACTCTACCTCTAATTTCCTATGGCATCTTTGCTCTTCTATTCTGTTTGTTTTTTATTAAGCAGAAAGATGAAGTGATGAGCAATACAGTCAAGGCTGTACTTTATCTTTCATCATTTTCTTACCACATGGGAGGTCTTTTATGACTAATATAGGTAACTTTTTCACCTCAGAAACAGTCACTTTACAGAAAAAGTACACAGCATGCCTAAAAAGAGGAAAAAAAATCCAAGGACCAGCTAATATTCCAGTCAAAACAAAGCAGAAAATAGAACCTCTCTCTATTCACACACCAATTACGAACTGAAACAAAATCCCACAGCGGCTGTGTAGTGAATGAAAACTGTCTTCTCATTGAACTATTCCAGTGACTGACTGCTATGTCAATACTAAGCTTAAGATTTCAATTATAAACACAAAAAATGTACATATTTGTATTCTGTAAAAGTAAAAAAAGACAGTCCATGTCCTTCAGGATGGTTTCCATTTTTTTCCACTGAGTAACTTAGAAACAACTTCAAATGTGAAAAAAAATGTACTTTTTACTGTTATGATTACACGTCACTTTTTCTTTTGATGATAGCAAATAAATGCAGATCTTAAGGTTCTCTTCTGGACAGAGTAATACTCAGGTGGTGTTTTACACCCTGTGCCAAAAAGAAGGATTCCAGCTTTCAATCTAAACCAGAGGCTTTTATCATTACCAGGTGTCTTCAATAGAAAGAACACTGCAAACAACAACAAAAAAAATCATAGAATGGTTTGGGCTGGAAGGGACCTTTAATAATCACCTAGTACACCAGGCCCTGTCACAGAGTGGGGTGCTCTTCACTGGACAATGTTGATCAAAGTCCCATTCACTTGGAACACTTCCAGGGATAGGGCACCCACAATTTCTCTGGACAATATATTCCAGTGCCTCACCACCATTTGTGTAAAAAATGTCTTCCTTGAGTTCAATCTAAATCAACCCTCTCGAACTTCATGACCATTATACCTGGTCTTACCACTACAGGGTCTCCATCTTTGTTATAAGAACCCTTTAGTACTGAAAAGCTGAAATTACATCTTTCTGCAGAGTTCTCTTCTACAGCATGAAGAACTCCAACTCTATTAATCTTTCCTCATAGGAAAGGTTCTCATTCTATCCCTCTGAAATGTTAATTATTTTTGACGTAAGTTTTATTCATCTTAAGCTGGCTATCTTTTGTCTATTACTCACATGATGATAATGATGAGCCACAGTTTTCTTCATAAGGACGCTCTCACCAGAGTTTTAGCTTCTCTTATTAATGCTTGCTATCTTCTTTCTTGGAGCAAGAGATATCTTTAACCGATGAAACCTGACTTATTGCACAAACATGAATGTGTAAGCTACTCTAAGCTAACCTTACAGTAAAAGAAAGGCATTCAAGTTATTAAAGAGGAGGTGGAGTTCATCTACAGAAGGTATGTGAAGCAGTTCAGCTGAAGATTGTATATATGGCACTGACGGACACGATTAAATGACCTTACATGTCACTTCTATCCTAAAGGATTCTATGATTCTAGAACTTCCTGTTTCCCTTTGTTGAATTCAAGCAAGTGTCGAGCTCCCTAGCTTTCAGATGTTCACAGAGCTAAGTCAAGGGACTGCAGATATAAAATATGAGACAAGAAAATCTGAAAAGGTATAACGGAAAAAAATATGACATGAGAATGGTCAAATCGTGGAGAAATAAAGAATTTTAATCCTTAAAATATTTGAAATTTGATGTGGGCTAGACCTACAGAGTCAGATCTCACTGGAACTGCTGTGAGCAAGGGGTTGGATAAGAGGATCTCCCTCCCCATCTGAGTAAGTGTATGATTCAATTTGCAATACAAATTACAGGAAAAGCTAGTACAAGCATTAGCTGGCAACATTTCTCACAGGCCTGAATATACATCAAAGCAAAACTTCAAAACAAAGATCAAGGAATATTAAGGAGTTCTGTGACTGTTTCTTTCCAAGTGACAGGCCATTTTCTTTCAAGTCAAATGAGTCATCTTTGACTGATACGTGTATGTCATGTCACCTACATCAAGCACTGAAAAAGCTCAAGTCTCTTCATTAGCCTACTTTTAAAACTACATTTTGCAAATTAATATGTAAAATATACTCACATAAAACCATATATCTTGAAAACAGATAAATTCAATTTCTTGGAAGAATTGGTTAGTTGCCACAGAGTCAGTTTAAAACCCTTTCTGCACTGCAAGTATTGAATTTTTTGTTTCTATACTTTCTTTTACTTCTGCATTTTAGCAGAAGAAAGAAACCAAAGTACTCAAATGAATGTACAAGTAAAACTTTTGGGATGTCAGACACTAATACTGGTATCTTTCCACAAACAAAACAAGGGAATTTGAATTAGACCAAAGGATCTAATGTAAAGAAATGATCAGAGCTTCTACCTGGAGCTAAAGCCAAGGTAGCTTGAACATACTAAAATTACATACCCATAACTGTTTGTAAATATTCACTTTTCCAGAAAGTATATTTATGTTTAGTTGGTACTTCAGACTTAAAATCTCACCATTCATACTTTGTCATGTATTATGAGAGTAAGGATGGAAATGGGCATTTCACCTTTCATGATACCATAAAAATAAATTTAAAATTGTGAAGCATTTGGGAACCATAAAGATAATTGTTATTAAAGAAAGGTAAGGCAACAGAGGAATTCTATATTTAGAGCACAACACAATACTTAAAAATGAATAGGAAATCAGTCATGTACAGAGTAATAAAAAAGAAAATACCACTTACTCTCTGAACTTTGCACATCCTTTGCACATCCAAGTGAGAATTTAAAAAAAAATAAAAAGCTAAACAAGCCTCCATATAAATACTACATACATACAGAATAACATATTAAACACAAGGGAGAAAGATGCAACATAAGGTGATATACAGCTACAAATATTTCAGATATTTCCTAACTCTGAAATACGAAATTATGTTAGTTTGTTATCAGGGTGAGTAAAAAGTTTTTTTAATATTATTTTAATTCACTAATACCATTTACCTAGAAAAATATCTTCCATAACATGACATTCCATCACCACCTGTTTTGCTTAACTTTTAGCACTGATACTCTACTACCTAGGATTATTTTTACTGTGAGAATCCCAAAATAATTAATATGCAGGCAGTAGGCAGAACTTATATTAATATTGCTTCTCATCTTCTTACAATTGCTGACTAATATTATCCTTCTGCTTTTCAATCCTCACTGTTGGAATTAATGCTAATTAAAAACTGGCACAAGCTTTATTCACAAATATTTAAGGACTCAGATCAAAGCCTTCAATTCTCAGAGATGAAAAATTCAGTAATCCTCTGCAATATCATCTACAAACCTGCAAACAGAAGACAGCATCCTTTACTTTTTCCTATATACTTTTCTCTTATTTTTCTTTTTTTTTTTTCTTTTCAGGTCATTTGAGGAATAGTCTAGAGGTGAGTCAACTGCGCATTTAGAAATAGATTTAAATTCTGATGTCTTCAATATATGACTTCACTTTCTAAATCAACTTCTTAAAACTTTTACATTAACCAAAATTCTATAACATCACTTTGTCGATTTTACAAAAATAATTTACTTTGACTCTAATCTGTTTTAAATGTTAAACTACTTTTTAAAAAATTATTAACCACAATATGCATTAGAATACAAACTACTTATAAAAAATCAGTCATTTTCAATAATGCTTTAAAGTATTATGCTTCTAAAATAAATATTTATGACAGATAGTTATAAGCTAAAATTAGTTCTCTACCATGGACAGTTTCATTCAAAAAATATAATTCTTCTAAAGTAGATTATGACACTCTCATATATATATATATATATATATATATATATTTTGTTTAAAAAAAACCAAACTCTAGAAACACTAAGATGTTGAGCAATAAAATATCTCTGCATTAGATACAGAAAAGTAATAAACTATCATACAGGAAATATCTGCCAAGTAGGTAAGAAGCCAAAAAGGAAGCAAAGACACTTCTTGAAAACACTTGTATTAATCTAATATGGAGAAATACTGCATTATCACAACTGTGATTATGGTGCTAGTGGATAGTAC